GTGACTAAGCCGCGAACGAGGGACAGGTTTCGTTGTCTCTTTTTATTTGGGTCGCCGATATTGGGATGGGTCCCCGACCACGAAACAACATTTCTTGCGTCTTCACGCTGATATCATCACGGTGTTGGTTTCATTTCCTCGAATGTGGCGGTAGCCAGAAAATCCCCGTAAGAAGCCATGACAGGTCCACATAAGCTTTGGGAACTAATGAAGCCTGAAATCAGCGGTCCAATCCATTTTGATCCGGGGTAAACATTGCAGTATTTCTCGCCGGGTGCCGAAGGTTGATCCACATTATCAATATTTGGACGGCTGGCGGCCCTTCAGCGGTGCTCCCCCCCCCCCCCCCCTCCCACACACACTCACTTCCCAGGAGTCCCAGGAGTCCTCTGTCGTCATATCCGGCGCGAGAACACTTCCTAAACTCGTTTGTGTGCGACCAAATTCGCCCAGGCTGTATACACGGCTGGATTCGGGAAGCCCATGGTGATTTTTCTTCACCAGTTAATGATTCAGCTTGTGTGTGCGGCTTGTCACCGAGCTCGGATTACAGGGCGGCACCTGACCTCTGCAGCTGCGCGCACCAGCGACTCTGTGGAGACTGCTCCGACGCGTGGCGCGGGTCGGTGGAGGATCCTGAATTTAGCGGAACGGGTGACAAGGAGACAAAAGCAGCTACATGAACGCTGTTCCCTCACCGGCTCTTACTGCGAACCTTTGTTGCAGGTTAATCCACCACTGGGCAGGGTTCCGCATTGGTGTCATTCGACTACAGCATAGATGGATAAGCCAAATTAATATATATATATATATATATATATATATATATATATATATATATAATGTATTTCGACCCCGAATACATAGAGGTGTTTGGTATTTCTTGCAGGCAAAAATAGTAAGAGCAAAGAAACACAACGTTGAAAAATATCTGTGCGCATGTAGACTTGGAACGAGCTATGCAGGTGTGACTCATGCTGTTTTTAGTCGCTGATGGGGTTGGGGTCCGGATGCTTCAATTCGATTGCAAAATTTCGTGACTTAAGCCCTTAACGACACCAACCGATCCGAGTGAAATTCGATCACATCATTTCCCATAGCAAATTTACGGCAGGGATGGCGGATTTAATGTATAACACATTATCTAAGCAATTAAAACCACACACACTATCTGCGTCGCGTTCTAACCAGTTCAGAATGTCTTCCGCTACAGAGACTCGAATTTCTTAACGACGCCTCGCGATAGCCTTGCGCTGGGTGCTCGGCGATAGTATTTACATGTGAATCCCGAAAGACGCTACTGATGAAAGAGGACTGAAATACCATGGTATTCGTAACCATATGAATTATACACGCGAAGCATGCACATGGAAACAAGAACCACTGATTTTATCAAAAAGCAGAGAAGATTACCGATTTGCAAGTCCAAGATAATTATGGACAGCGGTTACAATTGCAATATCACGCAACCTACACACACCTATTTGCAGCTGCGTCAGAACATAGCCGTCAGCCGTTGTCGATGTTGTTCCAATGTCGACAGGGAACTAAAACAACTGCATTTTCACTCAGACAAGAGAACTTTAAATACATCAGAAAACACTCCCTCACTGACAGACCTTTTTCGTCTCCAAAGAGCGGTCATTTTCTTGACCAACTGCTTGTTGACAAAACCTTGCCGATCGGGCTAAGTTACCTGATGTTTCACCGCTCAGCGTCAAGTTATGAATAATATGACGGAGTCTAACATTACGCCATGATAAACCACAATGTCTGATGGTTTCAATAATATAGATATTCGGGTTGACCTCTTCGACGCGGCGGAGATGTCAGCATGTTATAAAATGGAGCGTGTCATCTTTACATTTGTCATACTCTGTGAACACACATAGCTATATCACGGGTGTCTGACTTGGTGTGGAAAGACAGCTTTCTTCAAATCGGCAATGATAGCTCAGATTCCCTGCTTGAAGTGATTATCTCCACGAATCTCTTTGATTGGGTTCCCTGCCTAACATTATCAAAACGAATTTGTCCACCTTATTTTTGTGGGTATTGCGCACCGCCAAAGGGTTGGCTCAGAAAGCGCTGGAACTACCTTCCGCCCTCCATCGCTTGCATGATGACTTAAAGTACTCAGTTCCGATGGCAATACTTTTTCAAAGTATTTTAGTCCCGCGGAGTCCTGCGGAATCAGGCCTCGCCGCATGAGAAAACGTCACCCGACCATGAGCTAAGCCAAAGCCTCATCGCCACACAGGCGGCGTCTTCGCTCGGTCGTTCAAACGGATCAGCCGCCCGCCAGCGGGCTTCCGGTCGCCGCCATTCCTGGAGTGATTCAGTGATGTCCAAAGCTTGGGTCATCCCTTTAAGCACGCTACGTGAGGAAATGAAATTGCGTGTTGTATACTTGGGTGACCCAGTCGCATTTCCACTGCTGGTAGCTGTAAGCTCTGACCGCCTTGAGGCTAAAAATAAAAAAAATGTTAGCGGGTTTCGGGAGTTTATGGGTGCCTGTGAGAGATAAGTAATGGGCTGGATTGGGCAGGGATCACAAAAATCGGGCATCGCTTCAACTAGGGGCAGATGCCTGTATAGGGCGTCGGGCAGACGCTTGAGTGAATGTTACAAATTGTTATTGGTTACGGCTCTTTCTATAATAATCAGGTGCATTTACAAGACTTCTGGTATTACCAAACCACAAAACGCTTTTTAACTGCGTGTGTTTTGTGGCACTGCCACATGGCCACTACGTAACGGCCACCTCAACAAATGTTCGTGCCCGTACTCAACGTAAAGACGCACAATTGTATTGCATTACCCGCTACAGAACAGCTTGAGTGGTGTTTATTTTCTTGCATCAAGAACTCTAGCTCTTGAAGACTCCTTGCCCCCTCCCCCTGTCCCTGTGTTACATACCAGAACGAGTCCTGAGCGACACATCAAAATGTACCGGGGGCTCCCTGGTCCCTGAGCGCCACATCAGACCGTGCCGGGGCTCAGCATTGCGCCCTTCCCCCGTCCGGCCGGACCAATGCGGGCCGCGGCCGCCGCCGTCAGCGGATGCGGGTTGCCAGCTGACGCGGGGTCACCAGCCGCGACCCCCGGCTGTTCCCCTCGATCGAGCCGCGTCCGAGCGCTGTGAGCCGCGGTGAGCTGCTGCGGCAGTGCGGCCAGGCCGCGGTGAGCTGCTGCGGAGCGGTTTGGCCGCGGTGAGCTGCTGCGGAAGTCTGGCCACGGTGAGCTGCGGCGAAGCGGTCTGACCGCGGTGAGCTGCTGCGGAACGGTCTGGCCGCGGTGAGCTGCGGAGGAGTGGTCTGGCCGCGGTGAGCTGCTGCGGAGCGGTCTGACCGCGGTGAGCTGCGGCAGAGCGGTCTGACCGCGGTGAGCTGCTGCGAAACGGTCTGACCGCGGTGAGCTGCGGCGGAGTGGTCTGGCCGCGGTGAGCTGCTGCGGAACGGCCTGGCCACAGTGAGCTGCGGCGGAATAGTCTGGCCGCGGTGAGCTACGGCGGAGCGGTCTGGCCGCGATGAGCTGCGGCGAAGCGGTCTGACCGCGGTGAGCTGCTGAGGAGCGGTCTGGCCGCGGTGAGCTGCGGCGGAGCGGTCTGGCCGCGGCGCAGGGCAACCGGCTAAGCCGAAGCCACAGCTGGCTGGGCCAAAGCCACAGCCGCGTATCGCCACGATAGACCGCAACTGAAGCCCTCTTTTGGTCAGGCCGGCGGCGGCTATGGATTCGTATGCAGACAACGTCGCGGCCACCGAAGACAAATTGGACTTTTTATGGAGCGAGTTCTGTGCCGGCTGACACAGCCAGCCGTTGATTAGCAAGACAGATGGTCTGATCTCATGCAAATTGTGCTTAATCGTCAATTGCAGTCAGGAAAATCAGGAATGCATTTCACTGTTATTGGAAACTATCACGCTTTTTAATCGCCTTATCTTTTCGGAGTTTGCCATAAATTTTAATTCGATCTGAATGAAAGCAGTTTGATTTTCAGAATCTTATGTTGAGTTACCGACATTTGATATGCACGAAACCAGTCGGTGAAGACGCAAAGAGCAACAAGCATCGCTTTCATGACAGTCGGCGACCTTCAACGCTCCGTTTATGATCACCAATGAAAAAGGTTGAGAAAGGTTAAGCAAACAACTACAAATGAAAACCAGGGCCAGGTTCTTGGTCTTTGTTTTCAAATACGAAGTCTTAAATGACATAACACAGTCTTTTTCACTTGTGATCATAAGCACAGCGTAAAACGTCGAGCACTGGCAATAAACCAATGTTTATTCTACAACGCTGATGCATAGTAAAAACTTCGCCTGGAGGCCAAGGTTTTCAACTGTAATTTTTCAGTTAAACTTGATCAACTTTTTTCACTCGCTATCATTAACAAGCTCGAAACTTAAAGTACTGTCAATTTAACTAATGGTTGCTCTGAAACGTCGTTTGACCAGTACATCCTGTTATCTTGAAGTTAGATAACCCAGCATACGAGCTCTAAACTCACGTGAAAAAATCAGAGGCTGAAGGCCCTTCTTGCTTGTCATGAATGGGAACAACTTGGCCACAGAGAATGGGACAGCTGTCACCTGGATTCTGTGCTGAAAAGGATGGACCAAGGTCGTGGCTCTTACAGAACTAATGTAATCTGTCTCAGCGGTTGTGGGTTTTTATTGCTTTGTTTGTATAGTTCGACGTGTTCGGAAGGTAGTAGATCTGGCCGGGCGGAAAGTGAAATCTTGGACGGCGACGGGCAGGTCCAGCTTCATTCATGTGAGACTTGCGACGACAAGAGCTAAGTCTAAAAAGGGATGACACAGGTCATTTCAGACGTGAGTCTCAGCAAACGAGTTCCTTAACTAAAAGAAGGGTCCCTGTTATAACAATGCAACAAACGGTCCGCTGCCATTGACATCAGCACCTGAACACGTTGAAGTCGCCTGACGTACTTCAAGAATATTCTTGTGTACCTCTGGAACATGTTCATTGTTCCACAGAAACGGACAGAGGGCCAAGACGTACTGCACTCGTGAGACGGCTTGGCGGGTGTGCTGGATCATCCTGCCCATCAGCATCGTCTTCAACATCCCCTACTTCCTTGCCTTCACCGTCGACGACCGTATCCGGGAGACGGATTTCTACAACGGACAGTAAGTGGCACGCGCATGCTTCCTGTGCCGCTGTCGCTATGTCGGACAGTAAGTGACACGTGCCGATAGCATGCCCCCCGTGCCACTGCCGTGGTGTCGTTCATTGTTTGCGTGGAGCTGGGCGCGAGCAACTTTGCTGTACGTTTTGCTGAAAAATTGCTTTCCAGAAGAGATGAGCATCGGACAATGAAAAAGTCCTCACAAAGCTCATCGTTCGGCTAAGAACAGTGTTTCCTTTGTATGGGCAGGGAAGAGGGTGGGGGTGGCCGAGGTCCTGTCACTTCGCGCGATAGTGAAGAGTTGTGAGTTAAGAAAAATGGGGTGTCGGTCAGTTGTGAAAAACGGCTAACGTCGTTCACATGGTTTTACTTTGGCGACATTATGCTCCTGTGCCATTCTGGTGCGGGCGTTGTTACCCTAAGACCGATAGGTTTCACGCCTATGCTTTTATCTTGATCGGGTTAAGGAGGAGCATCCACGTGATGTACTGGAGAGATACTGGCCCACTGTCTCCCACTGCGCGTAAGCTCCCTGTCTTGAGACATGGACGGAGCAAGACAAGACCTATGTAGCAGACGATTGATAGGGCACGGCAATAACGTCTACTAGGGAAGCACGAATTGCGTTTGGGATTTATTACCACGGACAACGCGCGACGAGAGCAGCTGCAATGGACGAATGTAATCCCCACCTGCTCGTCCTGGGTGGGCCTGATTCACCGATAGCTGCCCCGCGGTTCACGCTGTCGTCGGCAGCTGCCCCGGGGCTTACACTGTCGCCAGCAGCTGCCCTGCGGTTCACACTGTCGCCGGCGGCTGCTCCGCGGTTCACGCCGTCATCAGCAACTGCCCCAGGGTTTACACTGTCACCGGCAGCTGCCCCGGGGTTTACACTGTCACCGGCAGCTGCCCCGGGGCTTACACTGTCGCCAGCAGCTGCCCTGCGGTTCACACTGTCGCCGGCGGCAGCTCCGCGGTTCACGCCGTCATCAGCAACTGCCCCGGGGTTCGCGCTGTCGCCGGCAGCTGCCCCGGGGCTTACACTGCCGCCAGCAGCTGCTCTGCGGTTCACACTGTCGCCGGCGGCTGCTCCGCGGTTCACGCCGTCATCAGCAACTGCCCCGGGGTTCGCGCTGTCGCTGGCAGCTGCCCCGGGGTTTACACTGTCACCGGCAGCTGCCCCGGGGCTTACACTGTCGCCGGCAGCTGTTCCGCGGTTCACGCTGTCGCCGGCAGCTGCCACGCAGTTCGCGCTGTCGCCGGCAGCTGCCCCGCGGTTCACGCTGCCGCCGGCAGTTGCCCTGGGGTCCATGCTGCCGCCGGCGGCTGCTCCGCGGTTCGCGCCGTCATCAGCAGCTGCCCCGCGGTTTTGCGCTGTCGCCGGCAGTTGCCCTGGGGTCCATGCTGCCGCCGGCGGCTGCTCCGCGGTTCGCGCCGTCATCAGCAGCTGCCCCGCGGTTTGTGCTGTCGCCGGCAGCTGCTCCGCTGTTCACTCTGTCGTTGGCAGCTGACCCGGGGTTCACGCTGTCGCCGGCAGCTGCCCAGGGGCTTACACTGTCGCCGGCAGCTGTCCCGGGGTTCACGCTGTCATCAGCAGCTGTCCCGCGGTTCACGCTGTCGTCGGCGCCGACTGGCCGCCGCTAATGCTAACATCCCTCAGAACAAACGGGCGCGGACCAAGCAAAGAAGGGCGCGCTCTCTTGACTGCAGATCTAGCTGAACTGGCGCGCGTAAAAATATGCATCCCAGAATTTCAGAGGTGCAAGAATCCAAGCTGCTGGAGCACTAACGACCCTGATGGAAGCAGCTCTGGATTAGATGACAGGGACTGCATGAAATAAACTTTGTTTAGGTTCCAATATTATGCCGTGTGTGCGTGCCAGTTGGAGGAAGTCCAGCTGTGGATGAGTGCACTTCACGGCTAAAATAAAACGCCGAATAGCTACCTAGTTAGCAGAACAGACAACTACAGATATTCCATAGCTGAAGCAGGCGTTGAAGCGTCCACCTGAGCATCAAAAGAACACTTGTGAGAACGGGTCGTTGTAGAAATGTCTTACTTTTGCAGATGTTGAAATTAACGTCAGATATGATGAAACGAACTCAATTTTAGCTGTTGGTGTACTTTGAAGTGGAAAAGGCTGGTCTAGACGACACCTTTCTCTGTTAAGTAAATGTGCCCATTAATACGTCATTGTTTGATTGCGTCATGGATCGCTTGCATGACGTTGAGGTGCTGTCGAACCAACCGTGCAAAATTATCACTTGTAGCATTTCAAACTCATCGAGAGTTGACAGTAAGGGCTGGCAGCGTTCGCTGAGCTAAATACCGTTATGTGCTTGTATTTTGGTCTTTTTGCCGTGATGCTCCTGCATACGTATTCGTGAATTTAGGATGCTGACTTGTATTCCCAAACTCGGTTATGGCGTTATTCTTAAGATATTTGATTGCAAGTTATTTTTCTGTAATAACAAGCGAGTGAAGAAACTATTTTCAACTTGTTTTATTATGTTCCTGAACACGTGTTTCGTAATTAAAGCTTGCACAGCTTGCTTAACGTTGTTTTAAAGCGACATGACGTCTACATTGTTTGGAAATAGTGTTCACGGACGTCAGATCTGAACAGCTGGACGATAATATTCTTCCTGGCCTTGATCGTCGTCTGGCCTGTGGGGTGGCAGGAAATAAATGGCATTGCTATAGTGTCATGCGTGCCTTAGTGTCTTTGAAGTATTCCGCACGAAATAGTCTGTGCATCTTGACGGACGTGCAACTAAGAAATTTAAGGATAGGGCCGCGAACAGCACCGGATAATCTTCAAAATGACTAGTTTTGCTCAAAACCCATAACAAATGTGGACCACTCCCCATTAAGAAGACCAGAAAATTCGAACTATCAGATGCTGATATTCAATGGGCGGTCAGCATTCTCACTTCAAGTGATCAAATTGTACCTCATTCCGCCCAAAATGCAGCAGACTTGCAAGCTAAACATCCGGGTGTGCCTGTTGATTTGTGATACCTCTGACTTCCACCACCACCAGAGAACCAATTGCTACCAATTATGTGAACCAGTTATGTGACCTCGCCAACAGAGGTCACATCAACCGAGGTAAAAGCTGCCACTACCTCATTAAACTCCGGCTCACGCGCCAGCTTGGACTATCTGCGTGCGGCGCATCTTAAAAACACGACAGGCAAGGCTGCTGGGAAGCTTGAGCTCGCCTGATTTCAATAACGACAGCCTTGGAAATCGGGACCCTTAACCAGCCTCAGTACATGGGGCATTCTGTGCGGTGCTCATCGCCCTGAGGAAAAGTAATGATCGCCAGAGACCAATCGCAACTGGCCCCGTATACAGGCCTCACACCACCAAGATCGCCATGCGGCCGCTTATCCCCGAGCATGTCGAACAATTTCAGCCGGTGAAGCCATGCTTTGGAAGTCCCGCCCGATATGAGACAGTGGCGAGACCTCCCGGTTTCTCATGCAGGGTTTAAACGGTGGTGCAGTCGTGGTACAGATCGACATCCAAAACGCTTTCAATACGGCGCGCCGCGATGGGCTGTGCGGTGTAGTTAGTGGACGGATTACACCCTGCCACAGGTTGCTATGGCAGGCGTAGTCCAAACCGACGTCATTCTTCTTGGGAGACACCCCAGTTCAGTTTACCACTGGCCTGCAGCAGGGGTTCATGTGGTCTAGTTATGTTCTCACTGGCTGTAGATTCCGCTGGCGGAAGTCCAAGTCGACATTCATTCATGCCATCGTATCTTGATGTTCCGGCTATAGGGGGCGACATCAACTCCGTATGCCAGGATCTGGTACACCTCTTCCTGAATCTGTCTGACGTTGGAATGGTAATGCACTCCAGGGAATGTGACATAGCTTTGTCAGATCAGGGTGACAATCAGTCAGGGATCGTGAATGTACGCTTATGACACACTGTTCCCGGAGCAGCTGTTGTGGATATGTCCGGAGCGACGATTCTAGGAGAGTCAATGGCTGATACAGCAATAAAGAAGGCGCTGAATAGGAAATGAGAGGATCTGGAGCTGATGGTTGGCTGTTTACAACGCGTTGATCCTCATTCAGCATTCTTTGCTCTTATCCCACCTTTTTGTAGCTTTCACTTATTGTTAGACCAGGTGCATACAATGTTATTAGTAATGCCAGTTTTATCGCAATCCTGGACAACTCCGAATCTTGACTTGAAGTGGCCAGCTCTGCAAGAGAAATCTCATTGTATTCGCTGCTTACCACAATGGAAGTGGTTCATTTTATGTGCATTGAATCGTCCAGCTTGTGTTTTCTGCAATGTTTGCAACACACTTGTGCAATTAATGCTGCGAAAGCTTGAAACACTCTGTTCAGACAAAAAGGTGTGCGAACATGAAGCTGTAACCCCACGAATTCAACGAAGTTCTATACTATGGCTTTGATTTATCCCCTCGGCCTTTACCGCGATGGCTCTGTTCTAAGCGCACTCTGGCTTTGGGATCGGGAGTATCACGCGGCCCGTAGTGACGCACTGGTTGCAACTTTAAAGGGGGCGTTCCACATTTGTATGGGGCTTTGAACTGAAATAGCCGTCTTGAATATCAATCGGTGCTGTTCACAGCCCTGCCTTTCTTACGACCTGAACCCCTCTAGTTTCTGAGCTGCACGCCCGCGAAGATGTGCGGACTATAGTGGGAAGACTATTTCAAGGTCATCTCGGCATCCACGACGCTTAAATCGCGTCATTGAAATTCTGCCATTCCATTAGTCATGCAGCAATCAAGGCCAAGAAAAATGTAATTGTCAAATCGTTTGTCTGGCGTTTATGAATTTGATGGTGCCTGAGTCACTGCATCGAAACGTAATGACGGACCTTCGTGCCACTTTGAGCGAATGACACACCGCACCGAGTAACACTGATGCATCCAGGGACCAAGGGGTGCAAAGGAGCGTAGCTGGGATTCAGTACTAGCGGAACAGTCCGCAAAGATATTTGCTTGC